CCCCCCCCCGTCACGTCCCCCTCACGCAGGACAGCTTTGCTAGGGATGCTGCTGCGCAGCTGCTTCACCTTGGCCAGCCCCTGCTATATGGGTTTGTAGGCTCAGAGCAAGGGATGAGGCTTCTTACCTGGCTCCGGCTTGAGCTTAGAAGAGCCTGGTGCTACCGTTAAGGCTAAAAGACAGCCGGGTAAAACAAACCTGAGTCACGTTACAGTTGTCAGTAAGAGGAGTGATTACATTCTGGGGTTATTCCCAAGGAAATCGTTTTTAGTTTTCAGGTAGTACATAAAATTGGCTAGCTTATTGCAAGCACCCCAGTAGCTACAGTTTGGTAAGGTGGAGGTTTGTGTACAGACTTTCACATTCAAAAAGCTAACTAACGCCAGGCCTTAAATCACCTTAAAATAGTATAGTCCCGTTATTTAGCAGCACTTTGAGCATATCAGCCGGGGCTAACGGAGATGCCTGCTAGGCTTGCCTTCTGGCTTGGAAGAGTGTGGCCTCGTTAATATGGTGGTGTTCCCAAGCTGATAAACTAAATTGCTGCTCAATGAGGAGTAGCTAACTTGCCATCCTCTTCCAGCCCCGAGAGAGAATATTTAGGCTCAGGCATACATTGCTCCTGAACTAGACCTGGTTCATGACTTGCCTCATGCTTGGTCCAAGTCCACCCAAGATCAGACAGCTTTCTTGGCTGTTGACAGGCCAGATTCAAAGATTTGTTTCAATTCCCGTTTACATGCTAAGCTTATTGGGCCAGCCTCTGCTTTCCTCTTGTAAGCTATCTCCCTTTAGATCAAGGTGAATCACAGACTTTTTCCCAATTGCCCTTGCAGTGTCATGAATACAGTGAGGAGCTCATAGAGCAGTGTAGGCCACTGAAAGAGCAGGGGGAGGGGAAGGAAAAGGTAGAAGGGTTTAAGTTAATAGGCAGTTAATGACATTAAAGAAGAAATCAAGATTTTGAAGTTGATAGTAGATCTCTGCTCGTCATAATAGTGGCACTATTTTATTGTGATGTTTTCATGTTTCTGCAAATTTGAAGTAATAGAAGTGCTGGTTGTTCCAGCACCTTCATTACAGTTCTGCTAGTATCAGCCATAATAAACAAGAACTTTACAGGAAGGTAGCATTTAATCTGTAATGGAGAAACTCTGATTCACTGCCAAATGTGAAATTGCAAGAATGTATTGAGTGCCAGTGCTATGTGAACATATATTCCAAGAAGTACTGTGGCCTCTAGATTGACCCCTATTTGTCATAGTGTAGTAAGTCATAACTGGCTAGCTGTTAATTGTAACATGTACCCTTTTACATGCTTTTGGGTAAGCTGTAGGAGAACATATGCAGAAGTGTTCTTTATCAGTGCTCAAAGCAAAGTATTCTTGATGTGCTAACCTCATTCCCAGATTGATTGTTACGCAACTACTCCTAGTAGAAGCTTCCTTCACTTAGTAATAAACCTGTTTCTCCTTTCCAGCTACAATGTACCTGATAAGGTGATATAGATACTTGAATAGGTGACTCTAAATATCAGCTAGTTACAGCTGAATTGCTGTAAATAAACACCAAGGTTTTACTTAACTTAGAGTTCTTACAGCAAACCTGTAGTAACTTAACATTTTCTTTCAGGCAACTATTCCATTTCTTATGGTTGACTTTTTTCAGTGTAAAAAAAAAAAAACATACATAACAGTATCCAGTCTCAAAGTTATCATGTTAGATTTAAAACTCAGCCCATTTTGAAGGAAATTAAGTAGTAATGTTAATCTGAAAAAGATGAGTTGATCAGTTTGAGACTAACACCAGAAAAAACACAGCTAGCCTGAAGAGCCAGCAACTTCAAGCCTGGTCTGTAGTTTAAGAGTTTGCTCCTAAACAACCTTGTTGCAAAGGCTTCACTCAATTCCAGCAAGTTATAAGCTCTGGTAGCATTCTGTTGATATTCTGTCTGCTTCACTTTCTATCTCTCACTTTATCATACACAATTCCAAGGAACTAAACCTATAAACCAATGAAAAATATTATCTGGAGTTTGAAAAAGACAACGCCCTGTTTGTAGGCTAAGGAGGATTTTAGCTGATAACTGGGCTGCCTAAAGGCGGAACACTTTTTCCCTGGGGAAAGAAGAAATACAGCTTTCTGCATGGGCATTTCTGCAAGTGCTGCTCTGTCCCAGGTCCAGAATACCTCTGTTTCAGTTCTCAATATCTTGCAAAGAAAACTAGTCTGGCATTCTGTCTTCTGCTTCTTTTAGTCTTCAGCCTGTTAATGCAAACAGAAAGGCAATCCCTGGTGTGAAGTAGTAACTCAGGTTTAAAAGAAGGATCTCTGCAAATTAAAGGATACCATTGGTACTTTCTTGAACCACTCCATTTAGATTAGCTGTTGACCTGTAATGAGAATTTTTGCAGTAAGAGAAAAGGGATAGAGGGTAGCCTTGCTGTAGGACCCAAAGAGTAAGAAAAGTTTTAATTGCAGCTAGGGAATGGAGACAGTTGAGCTTTATTTAAAGAATGATAAAAATCAGCTGATGAATCACTAGACTTCTCCTTCCTAGTAGCCCTTAGCTGTAGTCAAGGTATACTCTCAGGGAGACTTTTTTCCACTGTTCTGAGCAGCAGATAACACAGCTGCAAAGTTTGTTTCGCTTGCAGATGATGTTAAGTTCATTTTAGTTTGGCATTTTGCGAAAGTCTGAGCTGGATCTTCAGCACAGCTTTTCATTGGGGAGTGCATGAAAGTAGAACAGCATGTTTTCTTGCTAAGTGCAATGTGACCAATGCATTATTTTGGTTTTAATCCCATTTAGTGATTTATGCTTATGGGCACTACTGGCATATAGTAACAGGCAGAATTTAGAAGTCTGATTGATAGGCTGCAAGTTTAACTGCTTGACCTCAGCTTCTGTAGTTCAGGGCAGTATCTCATACACACTGCCTCCAGTGCGCTACCATATAGAATATTTTACTGCTTCTGACAAAGGCAGAAGAGTTGTGCTAAATATAGCCATGAGTACTGTGGCATGAGTCACTAAGATTACCTTCAGAAGAGCAAAGAAATTGATTGTTGTACTGTTTTCTTTCCTGTTGTGTCTAAACGACCTTTTCTCCTTCATAGGAAAACCTATTTGATCGATCCCGGATGGCCCCGAAGACTCCCATTAAAAATGAACCAGTTGATCTATCAAAGCAAAAAGGCTGCACCCCAGAAAGAAATCCAATTACACCTGTTAAGCTCATTGACAGACCTCAGCCTGACCCCTGGACCCCCACTGCTAACCTGAAGATGCTTGTTAGTGCTGCTAGCCCTGACATGAGGGACAGGGAAAAGAAGAAAGAGCTCTTCAGACCTATAGAAAACAGTGAGCAGAATGACATGTCTGATTGTTTACAGGTGAGACTCAGAACACAGTTAGCTTGTATTCAGTCAGGACTCAGACCTTCTATGCGATTTTGCTGATCAGGCTGAACGGCTGTTTTTAATCAGCTTCTTTAATTTTAATAGTGCTTCAGTTTTCTTCCCACTGGGCCCTTTGCTCCCTTGTGGAGAATTGCGTATTCCTAATGACAGTTGCCCATCCAGCACTAGCAGAGCAATAGGCCTTTCAAAGACTTAAGGTAGCTGTCTTAAAAGTAATAATTAGAGAGATGGAAAGCCTGAAGATTAGTGATCAGGAAGGATGGAGAAGGAAGTAGAGCGTAAATGTGGTAGTTTTCCCTACCCTAAGTACTTCTGAAGCTGTTTTCCAGCCGCATTAGAAAAGACTGCCAGATCACTTGTAAACAGGCAGGCAGTCTGGTTAGCCACAGCATAACCATTTTCAGAGCAATTAGATGAGTGTGGGCATATTTTTTTATTGTACTTTTGCAGTCTTTGTGCACAACAGTCAGGCAAAGCAGTTAAACCATCACCCTCCTCCCAGCTCCAAAACTAGCAATCAGGCAGCATGGTGAAGCGTTATAAAGATTTTTACCTTCCGAGAGTCAAGCAGTGGAGGGCTGGTCCCTGTTCGTTCTTTAAGAAGTCTTCCCTGCTTCCTAGGCATGGGGAAGATTAATTCCTCAACTGTAATGAAGCATTATTACAGTTTTCTTCCCTCAATTTTCTTTTTCCTTTTGCTCTAACCACTGCTTTCCCTTTATTGAATTATTTCCCATAGACTGTTGTTCCCCAGTGATGACAGTGAGAGGAAGCTGTTTCTAAAAACCTGCTGAGGAATGTCATTTGATAGGTACAGGTCCTGTCTGCAAGTATAGATTTTACAGCATTTACAGTGATTATAGTCTGGAGAATTCTTCTCTTAAGATCATCATAAAAGAGCAAACAGTTATCTGAAGATAATTCCAGCTAGTAAAAATACTTACTATTAAAGGTTAGTTATATTACATTCCAAGCCAACTATAACAAAAGTGCATACTAAGATCATGTAGTATTCTTAGGGTAGCTACTATAAAGAGCTCATGTATTTTCTAGGGAATATAACTGTAAGATAATATTCTCCACACAGAAAGTTAACTTACAAAATACAAGAAAATGGTCTTGTAAGTATGTATAAGCCTTAAAGAATATTGATATTTCCTTACCATATATGCATCAGAGTTCAGTCAGAGCAATAGCCTGCTGCGAGGTTACTCAGTCATAGTCAGGAAGGAGCAGGTAAGATCTTACAAGCATGGGAACTTTAGTTTCAGCAACTACCACTCAACTTTTTTCTTATTTTTTTTTTTCTTTTCATACAGAAGCAAAGCCCCCAAATTACCAGTGCAAATACTTTCTCAGCCGTTCTCCTTTTCTGAGTCTTGTGTGCTAAACATACCTCTTTACATGTTTCTGGCCTCAGTTTTTAGCAGAGGCTGAAAGGCCTTATTCAGGCCATCCTGCAGAGTTCCTTTAAGTTGACAGCTTGACTTAGGTTAAGGTTCAGAGACTTGGTGGTGCCTTTTATAGTCTCGTAATTAGCATCACACCCATCTTCTTAAAGCTATAGAGCCGCTCCAGGGGACAGTAAAATTTACCAAAAGAGGTTTTGCAGGAGATCTTTGATGGTTTGTACGTCTTCTGACTTATAAAATCCAGAGATGTGTGAGGGAGTATCCCTCCTCGCTGTCTCAAAAAGAAATACTCCTTCTAAGTAGGATCTTACCATCTGCTAGTTCTGGGTGTTTGATCTTACCTGTTTTGTTTCCTGATGCATACCCATTACTTTATGAGCTGGTAGATAAAGACTTTTCCTGTAGAGATCTCTTGTGTTGGACACTAGATTAAGCTGAGCTTGCCAGCAAAAGGATGTCACCTAGGTGCTCTGTGCTTCTAGGAAGCCCAATTTTTTTTTTTTCCTCCTTATTAGAAAGTCTGAGCTTGAATATTGCTAACATCTGAAATATGCCTCGCTTGGCTACACCTTGCTTCTAAAGCTCTGCACTAAAGGGATAACATTTATTTTTTAACAGTATGATATGGTAGACGACAGCACGGTTGATGAATTTGAAAAGCAGAGGCCCAGCAGAAAACAGAAAAGCTTAGGACTCTTGTGCCAAAAGTTTCTAGCTCGATATCCAAGTTACCCATTGTCAACAGAAAAAACTACTATTTCTTTGGATGAAGTGGCTTCAATTCTTGGTATGTATATCTGCACAAATGGGGTAACTCTGGTCACCTGGGGTACCTCTTACAGAAGGGCCTTTAAAAGACATCTTCCTTACATAGTACATTCAAGGTCTGCCTTTCCTTGGGTCTGGATGCTCTTCTAATCATATTAAACAAGAGTTGTAAGTGCGTAATATTCATAAGTGTCTTTACTGCTTGGTAATGCTGCCATTTTGAAATCTGCTTTCTGAGTCAGTTCTCCAGCTGTTTACAAACACTGGTGCTTTCTAGAATTTTCAATTTACTGAACTCTAAAGGAGTTAAGAGTTAAGTCCTCTTAAGTCCTCTGAAGGAAGACTTAACAAACAATAAATTATGTTAGAACTGAAGGTTTGAGAACAATTACAAAACGATATATGTAGGAGATCGGCTGGGTTTTTTTATTTCTCTTCAGTAATGTGCCTGACATACCTTCCAAGATCTCATGGGTCAAGGTTGCCTTGGCTTTAAATATTGTCCTGTGATGGAAGGTTAGCAGGAGACATGCAAGAGTGGATTGAGAAAATACGTTGTATAAAGGTGTGGAGGAGGTATTAAGTAGCCTATTTTCTGGGTCTGCTATTAGGTTTGGTATTAGCTAAAAGGTTAATTAAATATTTGAGAGAGGTAGTAAAACTTGGGACTGAGGGGACTCAGCCAGGCCACATCAATAAGATAAGAGGTCATTAGAGAGGTTTTCCCTTAGATGGTGAGGGTTTAACAAAACCGGACTTCAGCTGAATAAATGCAGGTGTGTATCTACATTTAGCATTCAGGCCTTTAACAGAAAGGTAGCAAAAATGAAGTGTGTCTATTTTGGGAATAAAGGGAACAGAAAAGGGAAGTCCCCTGTGACTCTGGTAAGAAAGTTCTTGAAATACTCGTGTAGGATCCTTGGCAAGTTAGAGAATGGGAGAGAGTTCAGATAAAGCAAACAGTAAAGAAATTACTGTTTAAGGGAATCGTTCTTTTAGATGTTGCATTTACTCCTTGTGTGTTTGCATGAGACCCTAGTGCTCCCAACTGGTGGAGCTGAACACAAGTAGTACTCTATTCTGTGTTGGGAGTGGCATTGCCTTGCTTTCCGTAAGACTAGAATTTTGTTTTAAAACTCTACTCTCGTGGATTTTTACCTGTAAAAAAAAAAAAAAAGATGTTTGCTCTTCTCCCTTTGGTTTCCACTTCCTCGCTGGCCTGCATCCACTTCCTTCAAGGACCACAAAATTGCTATTGCTGTTCTCTGTGTAACATGGTTGTAATGCAGCTTTTGCTACGTATGTGAGGCTGTGTTCACTGAAGTCCTGGCTATGGAAAGGCCACAGAAGGGACTATGCTGCTGGTGTCTGAGGGATACCAGGATATGTGTAGCACTCTGTATTTCTGGAGTATATGTTTCACTCCAAGATCTCTGTACACTTGGAAATACTCTTGAATTGTTTAATATCCATTTGAGACTGGTAAGTATTATCCATATTTTCCAGATGGTAAACAGATGCATCAAGGCCTCGCCTTCCCTAGGGAAGTCTTTCAAAACCTTCCCCCTTGGCTAACATTTGTTCTGCTCAGCTGCTGTTAGCAGTTATGGGATTTCTGGTGCAGACTGCTGCCACCAGCATGTTGTGCGCTGTGTCATGTATACAGCCATGCTACAAACAGCACTGAACAACAATACTGGGGACAGTGATCAGAGCCAACAGCCTATTTGCATTCAGGCCCCAAGCTTGCTCACACCAGTCAGACTGAAACCTAACTGAGCCTATCTCATAGGCTTCGTGTTGATACCTTTCTGCAGACCCTGCCAGACACTGAGGACTTGTTTCTGCTTAATTGGGAACAGGTGCTGTCCTCGCTGTCCACTGCTTTACACCTTGTGAAGCCTTTGACACTCCTTGGAACTTGCTACTACTTGGTAATACTGCCATTGAAAATGCAAGGGGAGATCTGTGCTCCTACTGATTTCTGTAGGAGCAGGCTTCTATGTCTGCCCTATATCAGTGCCAGACCTGGACCCGTTCCTGCCCTCTGAATGCCACACGTGTATGTTGACAGGCATGGGCCTGACCTCTGAAGCTTTCTGTAAAGAAGGGCCGGAGCGCTCTGGAAACCTTCGGGAAAGAGCTTGCAGCAGTGTAGCCTAGCTGGGTCTGGGTAGACTACATTCAGTTCTTCTAAAGATAGTGTAGGTGTTTTAAGCCTGAACCATTGTTGGGCTGGCAGCTAATAATATAGACAAAGAGCACCAGACCATGGGGATAGCCATGCACAAGCTGGTTCTTGCCATGCAAATTCAGATGGATCTAATCTGATGTGCTCAGGAGAACACTGAAAGATGCCTTGTGACACTGGTATATAGAGAACAGCCTGCTCTCTGTTCAGCTCCTCCTGAAATGTTAAAACTTGCTGATCTGCTGTATCTCTTTTATTCTTCCCCCTTAAAACAGGAGTTGAGCGGAGACGAATCTACGATATAGTGAATGTCCTGGAGTCATTGCACTTGGTTAGCCGTGTGGCCAAGAACCAGTACTGCTGGCATGGCCGGCACAACTTAAGTCAAACTCTGAAAAGGCTTCAGGAAGCAGGAGAGCAGCAGTATGGAGAGCTCATGGCCTTCTTTCAGCACAAGGAGCAAGACCTGGACTATACATTTGGAGAAAGGAAAAAGGAAACTATTCCAGAGTCTCAAGACAGACTGCTGCTTGACTTTTCAGAACCAGATTGCACCTCTGGTAAGATGACTAATAGGTGTTATGTGATACACAGACACAAGGCTCCTTCTCCAATTTACTCTGTGACTTTCTTCCCCATGCTTTGTTTTTAAGTTCAAGAATAAAACTGCTGAGGAGACAGAACTCTTCCTTCTAGCCCTAGTATAGGTTTCAGAACAGACTTTCCCTCTGTCCTCTGGACTGGCAGGAACTTCTGCCTAGCACTCTGATTCTTCATTTTTACCCACCTATTGCTGACAGTAAGCGCTTTGCCCTGACAGAAGGCTCGATCTTCCATTTCTCCACTGTTTACATGTGGCCCATATATTACATAGTGTTTAGGTATAAAGTCCATTGGAGTCACAAAATTTTAGTGGCACAAAACTGTATAACATAACAGAGAATCAGCTTTGGAGTCTGACTTCCTAAATGTCATTTCTGTAAGCTTTAATTCTTATTGCCTTTTGAAGAGAGACTTCCATCTGCTCTATTCAGTTATTTGTTGCCTCTCAAAAGATTTCTGCTTCCCAGCAAGGAAATACGTTGCCCCTTTTATGTGTGAGAAACCTACTTGCTACTTTTTTGGCCATGCTGGATGACATATGCTAAGAGGCTTGGGTATTATTTGTAACACAGCATCTGCAAACAGCAGAAAGGACAAGTCGTTGCGGATTATGAGCCAAAAGTTTGTCATGCTGTTCCTTGTCTCCAAGACCAAGATAGTCACTCTCGACATCGCAGCAAAGATACTGATAGAAGAAAGCCAGGACACGGTGGACCACAGCAAATTTAAAAGTAAGAAACGTCTGTTGAGAGAGGAATCAATCAGTCAGTGAGTAAAGAAAACAGGCATGTTTGGACTGACACCAGTAGATAACAGTGAGAAGGGGTCAGGAATCTTTTGCTGAAGCATGAGTTATTTTAATTGGAAATGCTGGGTGGTGAAAACTGACCTGGGGGTGAGAAAGGGTCTGTTTGACAAATATCTTCCAAGTTTTAATATCAGAATTAAGAAAAATCAGGGGAATCTGTTCTGGTTTTTTTTTTTTTTACATTTTTTAACACCTTGTTTCCTGTAGCTTTCTGAATTGCGTTTCAAAACTTAACTATGTTGCTTAACTTAATTTAATTTTTTTTCTCTGCAGAAATTTGTAACTTCTCCTTTTCACCCCCAAAATCTTTCACATCTGGATGGCCCAATTTTTTCAGTTATTGGGGGTTGGAAAAACCACTTGGAAAAAACTAAGCATTACTAAATTATTCTGATATTTTTAAATGAAGTAGTACTTCAGTCATAAAATTCTGCCCCAAATACTGGGATGAGGAGTTCAGCTGAACGATCTGTTGGTATCCTGTCCAGTTCAAACATGTAATTCGCTGGAGTCAGAGATGTTTTTAAGAGTGCTTCTTCTATAATATAGATGTGGGTTCTCTTGTGATCAGCTATGCAAACTCATGAGCCTCTTGCCTCCAGGTGCTTGTCTTTGCCTGTCAGGGAGGTTGCTGCCTTTTCTGGGTAAGCTGATCATGTAATCCCTCCCTAATGCATTTTCATCAAAATGAGGAAGGTTAGCTTAAACCTGAGCAGCTAAGCTGGCAGATGATGAAGAAGCAGTGACAAGCAGCTGGGAGTAGGAGCTAGCATGGGAGAATCCATAGGAAGTAGTCCATGAGAAGAGTCCGTGTCCCAACTTGATTTTATTTCCTTCAATCTGTGAAGTCTACAGCTGTATTCCTGAATTAAATTACCTTATAAATATGTTGCATGCATTGTAAATGTGACTGTTTTGGCTATTTCTGTCCTTTCTTGTTAGCAAAGGTACGAAGACTTTATGATATTGCCAACGTTCTCACCAGCCTAGGCTTGATAAAGAAAGTTCATGTCACAGAGGAACGAGGGCGCAAGCCAGCCTTCAAGTGGATTGGCCCTGTGGAATTCAGAGGAAAGACAGGTAACTTGCATAGCTGAGCTCTTTTCCTTTCGTTTTGACACTCCCTTTCAACTTGTGAAGAGTGGTTTTGCATGTGTAAAGAATGACTCAGCATTCACCGTGTGCAGTACCCATGCCCCGTGATCGTTAACTGCTTGTCAGCTCAAAATTTGCCCTTATTAGACTATACGCTCAAAGACTGGAGCTATTGAGGGATACTATGCCTTGTTGGTACTTCTACATTGGCTTATATAACGCTATAAAATAATGGAATATCATGCCTGTGTCCCCAAATTTGGATCTGTATTTTAGCTCTTCTGGGCTGCAAAAGCTCGGTAATTCTCTCCTGATTAGACAGTGAATAGTTTTCTCTGTAAGGGTAAGTATCAAGGTAAAACAAGGCTGCTTCTTGCACATGTCCCCTAATGCAGAAGGTTTGTTGTAAAGAAAAAGGAGGTTGGTCAGGGCATCTTTGTAAGCTGCTGATTCTTGCCTGGAAGCCAGTGCAAAGGAGAGCCCTTTTGCTACATATTTTCTAATTGGGGCAGGCCAGTCCTAGGACCAAGTAAAAGTAAAGGATATTGTTAATGTCATCTTTGTCCCCCTTTCCTTCTGGGTGCTCATGCTACAGTGCAGATGCTGTCTGGGACTGCCACAGAATGGACAGGAGGGAAGCCTTTACCTTGTCTTCCCCTGCTTACGCACTTAGGCCTACTTCAGTTTTAGGGGGGTTGGGATGCCTTAGAGCTTACCTCTTCTCTTATATCCAAGTTCAGTAAGACAGAAGAAGCCTAAAAGATGAGCTGTGTTCCCTGAATGACTTGTACAAAATTATATACCTTCAGATGAGCCAAGAGGGCATAGCCCAACATGTGGTCATCTACCAGAGATGCAGAGAGAAGCCTGTGCCCCGTGTCAGACCTGTGCTAATGGAAAGCAAAGATTCACACGTCATGCTTCGTTGAATGGTGTACAGCCTTGTGAAGGTACCAAAAGGAAGGTCATTTCCGAGCCTAACAGCTCACATCAAGAGAAGCAAGGTAACTACTAAGGGAACACATTCTTCTGTATTCCACTGGATCTGCCCAGATATGGGGCTACCAAGTTAAGGTTGTTAATGGGTAAATCAGCCTAATTAAATACATGAATTAGCCTTTGGGAGGTGCCTGCATTTCCTGGATGATGAGGTTTCTGATTTGGACCCCCCAATCAAGTAGTTAAAGTTAGATGAGATGCATCTGCGTCCTACTGCTTTGAATCCACAGTTTGTTTTCTAATAAATGTTTCTGTTCTCTGCTAACTGCAGCTACAGTACAGTTTCTTCTGTTAAAATTTGGCATAGATGCAGAAGGATTCTTTAGACAGAAAAGTTTGCTTTATTTTATGGTCCCTAATACAGTGGAAGTTATTGTAACAATCCAATGGATAGGTCTTAACAATGATAAAGCAGTTACATCAGGAAACAAAAAAGGGTCCTTTCACAGTTCCCTGTTACAGGAAATGATGGTGTTGAGCACCTCTCTGGAAGAACTGAGCGCTTGCAGGCTCTGGCTGTAGGTGATTAGTGGATGTTAGAAAAGTGTGCCATGATAGAAAAATCGTAGCCGTTATTTCGTATGACCAGTATCAAAATATGCTTGGTAAAGTTGCCGGTCATTGATTGAACGCTCCTTTGTTCTTTCAGCATGTATTGTGAATTCAGATGAATATTGTTCCAAAATGGTAGATCTGACGACTGTCTGTAGGCAGAAAATAGAAGAAGCTAACAGGTAAGTTGGTCTGTAAAGCTCCTGTCATGTCAGCTTGTCGTGTTTAGTTTGAAGCTAGGCTCCATTGATGAGAAGCGAGATGAAAAAACCCCAGGGTCCCATTATTACTATTTTAATTCTGATAGGTCTCAGCATGGCATTTCTTTCTGTAGATTATTTTAACAAGCAAAAGTTTTAATATAGAACAAATTTATAAGAACAAGTTTATAAACTGATATAACCTCCAGACTCCTTTGTACCCCTTACTGTTCTGTCAGGTTGTAGACCAACTTTACTGCTCTGATAATTAAAAGCTTGCTTCTATTTCACAACTTAAATGTACTCATGGGCAGTTTATACCTACCTGTACTTGTACAACTGCTGTCCTTTAGCTTCAGTAGTTGTTCTTCATCTCAAGTGTGTTTATATAGGGCGTTCCTGTCTCCTTTAACCTATTGTTAGACTGAACAAGTCATTCCATGCAAGAGCACCTCAGTCATATTAGGGGGTCTTCTCTACACTTAACCAATTTGAATTCATCTGTGGGTGGCAGTCATAGCTACCTAGTGCCCCATTCTGCTCCAGTCAAGTGCAACTGAAAGCACTAAATCATAGTTCTGCCAAAAAATTGGCGAGTCTGTTTCTGTGTAATTTGACATAAAAAATGACTCTCCTTGTGAAGTGTTTAAAATCAGTGGATTTTATCTGGGTATTTTCCATGTTTATGTCCATGAATGTACCTGTTTGGTTTTAAAGATGATACACGGTTTTTATTTTGGACTAAAATTTCCTCCTTTCCTTACTTTTTTTTTTAGGAATAAAGCTTGTGCTACAGAAACGATCTTAAATTCAGGAAGGAACCCAAGCATAACCTCGCCTTTCTCCCTTCTTCCGGTTCCAGGGGACTCTGATTTTTGCCTTAAACCTTTGCCTCACGCGTTGTTGCCTGTGGCTCAATCAGATGAGCCGTGCCTCTTGCTGCCAAATGGAGTCAGCAGCCAAGCTCTACATCCTCCTGCTCCAGCAGCCTCCAAAACAGAAAATGGAAAACCTACCCTGCTCCCCAACCAACCTTTCCTGTGCTTCCCCTCTTCTTCCCTTTTTATGTTGTGTGGCAGTCTTCAGGAAAATGTCTTGAGGGAGAACCACCCCATTGCAGGAGACATGGGAAACAGGAGTGCTGGGGAGCAAGACTCACCTCTAAAAGCACAGGGTGCTGTACCTCCAGTTAACTCCCAGAAACGCGGCTCCCACAAGTGCACGTCACCCTCTGCCCCTATGGACAATGAAGAGCCTGTTGCTAAAAAGCAGACCATGGAACAGAGCAATGTCCCTCTTTCACTTGTAGTACCCGAGGTAAAGTGAATTGCATTAGCACTTTGACTTCCTATTAGTCAGGAGAAACTTCTACCCAAGACAGTGTTTTCTGAAGTGAAAATTCATTGCACCACTCTTATTACAGATACAAATGCTATCTCCCACATGTTAAGAAAATTACAAGTGTGCTGTGCCAAGAAGTATGGGTATTAATTGGAAGATGTTTTTACACTTCGGGGGGGGAAAATGGACTGTGATTGCTTTGCATAGTGAAGTGATGCTCAGCTGTTCTTTGGAATCAATGCCTTGATCGTTATCTTCAACAGAACAGCCTGCCAGAGGAAGAAATCAATGTGAATATTCCTCCTCATCTTCCCCTATTAGCTGGGTCTTCTCTAGACAGCAGCAGCATTGCTTAGCCCACTGAGCCATAGAGAAGGTAGTTTGTACCTTCCCGCTACTCTCCAGCCCGAGTCCTCCTCTCTCAATCCCAGTATTGCCCACAGGAGACTGATGAGAGACAACATAATGTTAGAGATAAGTGAATCTAGTCCACAGTTCTTTTAACTGCTGAAATAGGGGTCAGGCTCAAGCTCATATCAATTTAAACCATTTGAAACAGGAGTTTTGCCTTCTTATCAATAAAAAGAAGTTAATCCCCTAGCTCGAGTACTTCTAAAGAATCTAACGTCTCCAAGTATTGAAAGTGAACTACAGCCCAGGGCACAGGGCTCAAGCATCACTAAAATTGCTCTTCAGACCCTCAAAACAAGATTTTTAACTCACTGACTTGCTATTCACAGCTCTTGTGCTGCCCCTTTGCACAGGTGCATGCTTCACTCTAGCTGAGGAATGTATATGACAGACATCATCCTGTTATTTCAGTTTGGACTTCTCATTTCCTCTTTTGTTTTTGCTTAGAAGCCCTTTGAGTCACCTGAGGCAGAAGCTACCCTGGGAAGCAGCTGTACATCTGCTGTACATCTAGAAGCTTTTCATCTTGACCTCACAGCTCCTGCTGCTCCAGAGGCTGCAGACAAGGAGACTACTAAGTCTTTAGATTCTCAGGAGCAAGAAAAACCATCTCAGAACAAAGACCCCGATGAACCTTCTCCAGGAAAAGAGCACATCTCTAAAGAAAACACCAATCAACCCTTCCTACCACAATATCTCTATGTTCAACCTACTGCTGGTAAGGACAGCTGTCAGATCTAGAAGCACTCAGACTTCTGCATCTGTTCACTGAGCTGTTCAAACAGGGACACCTACAGACAGGCCTATAAGCCTATATTACAAAAAAGTGTCAGCAGGTCTCTATAGTAGTTTAATAGTCCTGAGTTCCCTTGACTCCAGCTGAACTGTTGTCTCTGAAAATAAGGCATCTAGGTTTCATGTGTTTGAATTAATGTTCAGCCCTTTTCAGTATCAGTGTGTTTCTGAATCTCTGCTGCTTTGTGAGAGAGAAACACAAAAAACAAAAGAACTTCAGCTCTTTGACTGCAGAAAGACTGAAATCAGCCCCGCAAAGTGTGAATTGTCACCCACGTTTCATATAAGGGCTTGGGGACTTCAAAGCCAAAGTTTTTAGCGTTTGTGCATCAGAATATTCCACGCTGTTGCAGCCTGGTATTTTATAACTCCATGCCCTACCAGAACCTGCCTGCAGGTTTTTAAGTGAACAGTTGCTTGGGAAAGTCTCTATGCCTAGTTCTGCTGCATGGTGTTACTCGGCAAAAAGGACACCTATCTGGCATCTGAAACTGGGGGGCTAGTCTAGGCTTGTTAGACAGCCAGAATAGTGTAACAGCATTCCCCTCAGGAGTGAGTTTAGTGTTATCTAGGAGCTCTGTACTTTTCCTGGCGTGTGCATCGTCTGGATAACGCCATAGAAACTGAAGTGCAGGTGCGTGGCCAGGCCTGCTGGTGGGTACAGGGGGGATGGGGAGGAAACAACTGAAAATCCTACAGGAGGATTTCACGTCCACTATTTTTTTAGGACTATGTTTGTGTGGAGTGGAAGGTTATTTTGTAGGAAGAGAGTACGTGCTGCGGATTGCCACGGCCACTGCATTTTGTTCCCTTGTGGCACAGAGTCAACTAAAGCTAAGCGGGGTCTATGGGATTTCAGTTACGTGAAGCAGCTTGCAGGGTGGAGACTCTCAGTTTGAAAAAAAAAAAAATTGATCTTGGTGTTTTGGAAGGCCAGACAAACTGGGAACCAGTGCAATTCGAGTTTTTAAAATAGTTATTTCTGCTCAGGAAAATGAGTGTCTATGGGGTACGTCTTTACAAGGTTTTTTGTTTCGTTTTTCTTATTAGAAACTGTGTATATATTTAATTTAGCTGAGGGTATGATTCCTGTTAATAAGAAAAGAGTTTGTTTAGCCAAAACATTGTTTTTTAACTAAAGTTTAGAAGCATAACGCATCAAGGGGTGGCTGGTACTCAAGAGAAACAAAGTCAATGGATGCAGACATAGTGAACAGGCAGCAGGGGAGAAGATGGAGGTAGGTAAAGAAAGGGAGCCTGACTGAACAGATCTAAAGCAAACAAGTTTTTGTTACTTAGCGCAGTTTTGTTTCTTCTTGGGCAGCCTTTCTGTTATCTCCCTCTCCTGTTCTAGATGAAGTTGTAATAGCTTAATTCCAATTTGTCAACTGTATTAATGCCTTACTTTTTTCTCTTTGGTTTAGGATTAAGCAGTTTTAATTTCCTGTTCTCGGCAAACCAAGCCCCTGGTGCTGTTGGTCTGGCTGCGAGCCATTTACCCTCTCTGAGCGTCCCCTGTGTTGTGGTGCCATCAGCAGCCTTGGCTTCCTTCCCGCTTGTCTGTTCTCCCACAATTCCCAGCCCTCTTTCTCCAGTTCCCGATGGTTCCTTCTGCGCTGCTGCCTCCATGAATTTAAGTATGTCTGGCGTGGCATCAACAACGCCTGTTTTCATAGGCACCACAGCAGTGGTTTCTCCAAAGGTTTCACCTTCAGCAGATCCCCAGCAACCAGCTCACCCCACTGCGCACTTCAGTCCTGTGCTAGCAAGGTCTTGCAGTACTGTTAAGCTGGACTCCCCTATGTATATGGGGCATCCTGTGACCCTTCTGAAACTGCAGCAGGTGAGTAATAAAAGGTGACTGAATGAGAAGGAAATAACAGTACTGAGTCACTGGGACTGAAGGAAGCTTGTGGTGCAGGCTCCTGTCTGTGTGTCAGAGTGATAAGCTGGCAGGCTGGAAGCTGGTGTCTTCTACTTAATTTCCATGTCCTTTTGTAGTGGTGGGAGCACTTGCAGTAGCATTAAATACATAGCCCAGTGATAGATAAACATACCTAGCATTGAACAGTAAAGCGGTGGGTTTTAAAGTCTTACAGAAATAGAAGAAAAAATGAGTTACAGGGTTTTTTCCAGAAATCTGAGTCAATATTTTTCCCTAGTGATTTGATATTGCCATTAGAGATGTATTATACAATTGCTACAGAAACATGTTTAGGACGACAGGAGGATTGTTTGTCATAATTCAGGCGTCAACTGACTGAAAAAGCGTTTCAGACAGTAGTGTGCTGGGTGACCTAATCCCTGCTTTGCTCTCTGTTCACTAAATAAGGGAACCTTTTAAAGGCAGCCTGAGATTGGAACTGGGGGAAACCACAGATTTCGGTGTATTGTTGATCTTTTTTTACAGAGATAGTTTCAAAAATCTACACAGATAGGAACTTTCTGAGTAAAATAAATAGCAAAAGAAATTCAAAAGTGGAGACGAATCCATTTACCTGAAGTACAATGAATGACATGAAACCATCCTGTCAGTTAATATGTTAGCTGGGACTTTGCAACTATTAGCAGTGCCAAAATGGCCCTGCTTTTAGCTTGAATTCTTAAGTTTCCAATATCTTTTCCTGTTGTCTAATGCAATGACAAATATATTGGACTTGTAGAAGCTTTATGAATGCTATTTGATGTTTATCCTGGTCAAGCTTTAGAAAAAGTCTATAATAGAGTCAGTGGCAGCTGGCAGCCAATCTGGTTACAGATATTAGCATTAGAGGTTACAGTAGAGTGGCACTTAAAATAGAAGTGGGCTGGGTTTAGGAGATGCTTTAGACCTGTTTTGATGCTAACAGATAACCAAAGTGAGTAAAACATCAAGGAGGGCAAAGAGCCCTTTAAGCCAAAGGACAAGATTGGCATAAGAATGAGTATGAACTACTCATGAATACATTAAAGCTGAAGTAGGCTTTCAGCTTCACAGCTGAGGTACTGGAAGACAGCTTCAGATCAAAAAGCAGGGGCAAAGCCTGTAGTTTTTCATGTGAAGCTTCTGAACAAACTGTGTGACGTCGTTCCCTGTAGTAGCAGGGTAGAGGATGTAATGTCTACAAGTTCTGTTCCATTTGCATGTTTGCATGTAGGCTTTGACAAAATGCTACTGAATCACTTTGTTTTTGTTTCACAAATAGCCTTTGTCAACTCCCCTCACTCCTAAGAGCATTCGTCCTGCGCATCATGAGGCATTTTTCAAAACTCCTGGAAGCCTTGGAGAACCTGTTGCATGGAAAAGAAATGAAGGCAACCAAACCAGAAGTGGCAGCTCTGTGCAGAGGAGACTAGAAATCTCTAGTACCTGCACAGACTAACTCCATTCATTGCAAAGGCTGGCCAGACTGTCCTAGAATTCTGTATCTATTACAGAAGAGCAAGCAAGCTTTTACCTGACAAGAGGAGCACGTTAAAATGGCATCCCTTTTGGCATGTTTCCCTGCTATCTATTCACCTACTAGTTCTGTTAACCTTTTTTTTCACAAGTCATCCTTACTACTGAAATACCTTTTATTTGTTCGTTCAGTACCGATTTGAATTTGGAGGCTGTGCTTGGCACAGCCTTGTGGGCATCAAACTGTATTTGTGGTTTTAATTTGGAAAACTCTCTTCATTGCTGTGAGGAGATGCAAACAGATTTCCTTGGAGTCCCCATGGGTTCTTTATTCATGTTTGTAAGTGAGCTGTCAAGCACTTATCTGGGTGAGCATTTTTTTTACTCTACTTACCCTGAGTAAATCTGTGGTGAAAATAACCTCCTGCAATTGCAAGAGCAACTACTTCCTTGTTTCCAATCTGTCAAATCCTGCCTCAGCAGTGCAGCCTCTTGGTATTTATTTTCCACGTTGGAGTGGGATTTAGTGCAAAGAAGGTTTTTTGCAGCTTCAGAATAACACACTTTCTCAGGCTACGATTACTTGAATGTCAGTTGGTTGTTGTATTATTTGCCCAGCACTTGTGGTTATGAAAACCTAATAATAATTTAATAACACAGTATGACTGAATGTATACGTGTGAAAAATGTTAAGACCAAAATAACTGTGAATTTTAACACTTTTATAGTTGTATTAATGAACTGTAATAATCCTTGGTATTTTTCTATTTTTTCTGAGGAAAGAATTACAAGTTAGATTTAAAAAAAAAAAAAAGAAAAAGTTCCCAAACCTGATTCCTAAATAAGTTTGACAAAGTAATTGGAGAGTGGTAAGCCACTGAGAGGTCTGTGCTAAGATTCCATCTCCCATTAAATGTATGATCTAGACTTTATGGCCAAAGAACACTGAGTCATTAACTCCATGATTAGGTTTGGTTTCTAGGGGTCTACTTAAGTGCCTAACTGTTCATCTATGGGAATCTCACCCACTTGTGAATAGTATATTTGAGTGTACTTGGAAAAGAAGGGAGGTCTTGTCTTTTGATGCATACCTATCTAAACTGTCAAAATAGGCTGAAAAAGAATGTGAGTCCTAAATGTTAGAATTGTGGAGAAAAAGGTCTGTATTCCTAGTGAGAAGATAAGGAGGAAGAAAGGGATTTGTAGCACCTGGTTTTGAGAATCCTTAAATAATGGATGGAGCTCATAATACTTTAGGATATAATTTTAAGGGTTAATGCTGACCTTGGATATGTTTTCACAGGTGTAGCAGACTTCAGTTACGTTTGTGCAGTTTCCTTTGTTTAAAAAAAAAAGGTTTTGCTGTTGACAACATGTTGCTTTGGATTTTTAGCAAACATAGGGCCAGTTCTGCTCGAGTTGGCAAGAACTTTGTATTGACTGGTACTCGTTTTCGAAAGGTAGATACAGTCTGTGCTACTGCATTGGTCTTGAGAGGCTAGGACTTTCTTTGGGGGCTGGGGATCTGATGAGGGTTTTATATTTTTATAATGAAATGTATTATGAAAATGGAATTTAAGAATGAATTTTAGTGGAACAGCCTTATAAAGAGGGCTGGTTAGCCCTCACTGAAAGAAAATGTCTACAGTAGAATTATCATAGGAAAATTCAGGGGTGATTAAGAAGTCTCCAGACTGCTAAATTTAAGGTTTTTTTAACTTAAAAAAAAAACAAAAAACAAAAAGAAAAATACACTACAGTTGTGAAAGTTTACGATTATTGCTTCTGAATCATTTCTTCTTATACACCCACTTAATTTCACTTCAAAAAGCAATGTGTAGTTAGCACAGTGTTGCTGATGCACTTCTACTAGCATACATTGGTTTCTGTTCTGGCTAGAAACAGGCTGCTGAGGTTCCAGATTGCATGTACATTCTCCAAACCTTTTCTTTTCTCTCCCCCTCTAGTATGGGCAACCTTTTAGTGAAATGGCAGTTGGGAGAAGAGAGGAGGATTTGAGCTAATATTGACTCTTTGCTCTAGTTAAAGCGTCTTTGCGAAAACTGTTCCATAATTAACCTAACTATACTTGAAAATGCAGGGACTGAAAATAGATCTTCAGTTCCTAATTTCCACTTCCAGTTTTGAGTTTCTGTAAATACAGTGGGCCTGCTCTCACAGCAAGGTAAATCAGGATTGACTGCCTCATAATTAATGCCAGCAGATGGGTTATGGTCATGAAAGCAGATTTATGCCTGTGAGAAGGGGGTCTACACGCTGTTCTGCTTCTGTCGATGCAAAATTTTCACTGTAGTAGATGGGGCTGGGGGAAAGGAGTAGGACAACTGCAGCATTCAGGTGATGTAGCGAGCAGCACTAAGTGCAGTACCTGAGCCGCTAAATGAGGCTTGTGAGGGGAAAGAGCTGGTTGTCAAGAGGGAATGCATTTCTCTTTTTTCCCTTCTTTGCCTTCACTAAAAGCTAAGAATTAAAATAAACTAGTAACAATTCATCAGCAAAATAGCTTTGGAAAAGCAGAATTTGGATTTGCACTGAGGAAAAGTGCATATCTACGATGTTCTGCAGGGTTTATGAAACCCTTTTGTTCCAAAACAGGTGTTGAGGGGGATGAGTGTATAACTTATACTTGAATCTACCTGTCACGTTTACATTTCTGATTATCATCTGTAAATTGGTGCTATTTCTGTATTTAAAAAGCTGTATTTTTAATGTAAAGCTGCTTCCAGTTTGTATCTTTGCACTGCTAGTTTAATATAGATATTAATTTTATTGCTGCTTATAACTGTTCTTCAGTTATTAGACATCCTGCTTTTTCTGCTCTCTAGCAATCTTTAGTTGTTTGCATATAAGTTTACTCCAATCACACTGTTAGGTTGAATTTTTTTAATACTATCTTTTAGCAAAATATTAACTTTTACAGAATAAAAATGGAACTAAAAACGAGACTGAGAATGTTGGTTTTTTCAGTATGGATAGGAGAATGTCCTTTGAAAGAAATACCCATCCACCATGCATTCAGACTAGCAGCCTCTGCTAAATCTGAACATTGAATAAATACCAGAGGACTACAGATCGCCCCAACTGCTTCCACATTTGGCTATTTTACTTAGCATAAGCAACACTCCTATTCCAACTGTTGAAGGCAACAAAAACTGGCTCTTAAAATGCCAGGTCTGGGAAGGGAGATACCTGACCCTGGCTGAAAACTGCTGTGTGATTCCAGGCTTTGCTTCCTAACGCGCAGCAGATGTTGTGGCCGAGGCTTCTGTAATTCAGAAGCTTTAGCCGATTGTCCAAAAGTAGAGCTGGGGTCTGCTCTGGGAGCATGCATTGGGGTTAGTGCTGCCTGTGTGCCTCCCTGGCACAGCCCAAACTCAACTCTATATAATAATATTAAAGTTGAGAATAACAGCAGTAAATCACACTTCCCAGTAGGTAGAGAGGTTCTACAGACCTTTTCTCTGTGATTTTTTTTTTTTTTGGTCCAAAGAAAAGTAGATGTGTATTTCTCACTGTCTGTATAGAATTTTCACCAGTGACACTTGCAGACCAGCCCTAGGTCAAAGGACTAGAAGTTCAGTTACAGTTTTATTTCTTACTATGCAATTGATTTCTTTTTTTCGTGCAGATAGTTTTACCAACTGTTCATACTAGTAATGGTCCAGTAGACATCTGAGGGGGCCTCCAACCTGAAATTTAAATGCTCTATCGACAAGCTGTCTGTCAAAGAAAAATTTCAGCCCATGTTTAGGAGAGTCTTGGGAGAAGGAGGGACTGGGCTGTCTGCACAGGAGCTTCCTTACCAGCAGGTGCTGGTTGCTCAATGCAGGTAGAGGTCCTTCCTGTTGCTGCTGCTGCTGCTCCCCATCTTGTGGGGTGGCTAAAGGAAGCCCCCTTGGGCAGCAAGGGCCAGGCTGGCCTGCCCCACCACCATCAGGACCTGCCCCCCCTGCTAATGGGGACCAGCCCTGCCATCATGTGGCCTGCCCTACTGCCTTTGGTGCCTGCCCCACCAGCATAGGGACCTGCTGCACTGCCCTGGGGGCCAGCCCAGGGCACCCCCATGGCCCCAGAGCTCTCCCTGCGCCCCAGCTCTCCACAGGATGGCAGCAATGACTGCTGGACGCTGCCCCTCGGACACCAAGGAGCAAGCGAGGCTGCTGGTGGCAGAGCCTGCTCCCAGGGAGACCACCCCAAACAGCTCGTGCGAACAGCCACCGTGGCAGCCAGGCCCCCACAGCCCCACCACCCACCGCACGCCCCGGGCCTCCCGGTTGCTGGGCTGCCGCAACGTCCCC